ATCATCTTGTTGTTTCCTATCTCCTCAAACGATCTCATGCTCATGTTCTTATTTTAAATTTTCTATTTAACTTCTATCTAAATAATGTTGATGCTGTCATATATGAGTTACCTTTATAATTTGTCTTGCCTTACCATACCTTTATATTTCATGAGAACAGAATTTAATTTCCTCGTTCATCATTTTATCCTGTTAGTTTTGGTTTCACATTTTAATTCAACAAACGAACTTAAGGCTTTTATATGACGTGCGTGCGCTCTGTCGTCTACCTGTACTCGACAGTGATTGGTTGGTGAGACCAGCACGCCTCTGACGCATTGAGGTTTTACAGGGGTCCTTACACGCACTCCACCAGTTCGCTAAGTAAACGTCCTCGTCGCTCAAACATTATATCGTCGGAGGTGAAGACCCTGAGAGTTCTCTTCTTCCTCTATTGTTTAATTCTGTCTCTACTTCCTGCAATATGAATATATATGGAAGTTATTATGATAAACATTTCCATTTGTTAGGGTTACTCTATGACGACGACTTGATGTGAAGCACTGCAGCGTTTCCTCCTGTGGGAATTCACCAGTTATATTTAGACGATTAATCGTGTGTAAAGAACTAATTGCACCATTTGTCCAGCGCAGGAAGTTGACAACATCAAGGCTCACGCTCCCATTTAAGAGACCAAAATATTTATTTAACCACTTTTTAAAAAACTGTTTTTGCAGAAAGTGACTTCACGGATACCGTTACAGCCATTTCCTGCACTTCCTGTTAACACGAGTCGTTAGGGCCGAGCCCTACTTTGGCAGTTTGGTCCTGAGGCGAAATCCCGTGTTGGCACGACGCCGCGCTGAGTCACTCATTTCCAATTACTGACCCACAATCCACCTCAGGGCGCCGATGTTTCCTAAAGCATTAAATAGATGGGGTTGGCTTCAACACCTACTGAAGCTGCAACTTGTGCGTAATTGGATTTGAGTCTCATTGATTTATTACACTTTGTTGTTATGAAAGATTGGAGTTTTCTGGAAACTCCTCAAAAGACCATGTGAACTTTGCAAAGGCCAATTTTCTAATTTCATCGTCCTCACTCTTTCTCCACTTTCTCTCCCCCCTCATTCCATCCACTCATCATCTCCCTCCCCCCTGTTCTCCTCCTCCACTCCCTTATTCCCCTTTATATCTATGCACACACATACTTGTGTTTCCGTGAGAGTGTGTGTGTGTGTGTGTGTTTCCAATCAGAAAAGTGTGAAGTGTAAACAGTTCAATGTTTAGACCACTCCTCATTCCTCTGGTCGCAGCCCGACAGTCTTGGAATAACAAAATAGCATCTGTCAAAATGTGTTCGTTCAGGTAGGATTTAAATCTATCAACTGTTTTCACTCGTGATAAAATTTACCCACTGACTTTCTACTTTGGTCCCATCTACCATCATGGAGGAGATACGGTTTAAAGACCTACACTGCAGCCGGCCACCAGGGGGCAATCCATATTTAAGGAGCTGACGCGTCGTCCATCTTTATTTGTCGTTTAGTTTTGTGGCTTATTTTTCTTCATCGTCTTTTTCATTATTTAAACTTAGACCTCCAGGTCAGTGTACGTTTTCTTATTTTGTAATCTTGGATCAGTGTCATTCTGTTGTTTTGACATCCAGGAGATAAGAGCAGGATGTTCACGGGACTGTTGGTGTTACCGACACACGCAGACAGAACAAGATGTTTACGGTATTAACTCAGAGAGTCCGTCACCTCCAGACAGAGATGATCCTGGTTCAGCCTGGATGTGACATAAAAGATTTCATCTGTAAAGGTCATTAATGTGTAAACCTCTGCAAATGAAGAGTAATATTCTATGAAGCTGGGAATTTCTGTGTTTGTATTAGTTGCAAAATACTGTGTTTACAGTATCTTAAATATCTTCACTCAATCCTTCCTCCTCCTCTGCAGAGAAAGTTTAAATCTGTGTTATTTTTCATTCCCTGGACATTGAGATCTGAGAACAAGCGTACTTCTCTTGACATCTATTTATCACTAACACACAGTTCTGCCTCAGCTCTGGCTCGTGAAGAATGTGGCGTGCGTTTGCCTCAGAGGTTGTTAACTAAAAAAACAGATCTGCAACAGCTGGCTGAAGACACAAGGCCAATTTGAACTGCAGGCGTCGTGAGCGACGTGAGGTCACGGCGCGATAAGTCTCGGGGAGCGCCTGAAAGTTTGGGCTTGAAAAAAACAGCTGACGAACAGAAGTGAACGGCGCATACCTCCGCTATCCACGCTAAGCTGCTCGCATTCATTCATGGCACTCCCCTAAATATGTATGAAACGTTTTCATTCACCTGGCTGTGTGAGGAACGCTTCAGTCCCCTGATCGTCAAACACTCGTTCACGATGGACAGCAGTGATGAATAACAGACAAACATGTCAAAATGCCCTGAGTGACTTTTATTACTCATAACTGCAGCATCGTTGCTTCACTGCTGTTGATTTATACGTTCATAGCTACATGCACACGAGTAGAATGTCACTCAGTTAGCACATAGTACCTCCGCCAACAGCTCCCTTAGGAAACCACGTCTAAATTCACCAGATCCAGATTTTTACTTGGATCTGAACCAAATTTCAGACACTCAATAGATAATAGTTGGATTTTTCTTCTTCAAGATATATGAAGTTTTCCCAGACAACTAAGGGAAAATGTTGATAAAAGCTCCGTCGCACTGTGGTAAAGAAAGCGATGAAGAAAATTCCAGGATCCGCCTCTTTCGGGATCCATGACAAGATTTACGGGAGTTCTTTCCCATCCCTCCACAGAGCTGTATGGAAATGTGTGTTTGGTTTTGTTGAATCAAGTGAAGACATAAAAAAATAAAGTGTGTTGATGTACTTCAGTCTCGGAGCTCTGGACCCTTCAACAACACAGTATGAATTTGTGTTAGGACAATGGACCGCCCTGAGTATTCTGTCACCATGGTAACTTCACTGTCCTCCACACACACAAACAAGCACACACACTGTCTGCATGAGCACCTGTTAGCACACACACACACACACACAGACACACACACACAAGAACAATGTAAAGCTCGTGCTTTCTGGTATTCACATTATTAACTTCCTCAGCTAATTGAATTCAGGGACAAAACAGCTGCTGTGTATGAATTAATGAATTAATGAATGAATGAATGAATGAATGAATGACGACTAAAGTCAATGTAATTAAGTTTCACATCTGTAAATGACAGAAACATCTTTATTTGTAGAGCACTTATCTCAACAATTCAGCCATTAATGTACTTTTAAAATACACATCATTCATGTGCTGATGTTTGCTTCAGTGTCGATTGACAATAAAGAAAAGAAGTTTCCCCGTTTTTTAAGAAACACAGCTGAGCTTAAAGTTCAGTGAAAGAATCTCAAAGACCGAGCTCGATAACCTTAAACTCAAACACCTCAAATATGTGAAATATGAGCAGACAAGTGCTCGTTCACCCTCTAATTGTTCTAATTGGAACATCTCTACTCCGCTGCTGCGTTTTATTTTCTGCCAACGGGGAAAGTACCTGGCACACACACACACACACACACACACACACACACACACACACTCTAGACTTGTAATCATACGCTGTAGCCAACAAACAGTAATATGGTGAAAAGAACATGTGCCTGGACGCAGTGAGTGAGTTTGCATGTGCTTTATGCTGAAGGTGCTCTCACAGGAATGCTCTTATCTGGGTCAAATGTTGAGTTGGCATCTTTGGAGGATGCTGTTTGTGTGTGTGTGTGTGTGTGTGTAATATACCATTAGCTGAACAAATCTGTCCTTTGTGGTAATGATAGGGGTGGCAGGTTGCCAGGCAGACAGATAATACCACAGTAGTTGGTGACTGAGTGATTTCAACTAGAGGCTGTTTCACCTCAGCAACGCTCCTGGAGCTGCAGGCCGAGGCTCCGGCAGCGTCCGCACTCTGAACCCAGGAATGTCGAAATGTGTGTTTTCAGGCGCAGCGATCTGCAAAGTCCTCACCTGCAGTTTACTGTAATTCCTGCCTGGTTGCTCACACATCGCTTGTCAATCAAAAGGTGCAAGTGATTCTTTCCATGAATCCATGTACATACATGTCTCATTCTCTTCAGAATGATTTTTAAACCTTTTCTTATTTTAATGAACAGAAAACGTAACATCTGTAAAACATGGCGCTGAGTGAAAAGATCCCTCGCCGCAGCTTGAAGGCTGTTTTTGTTTTTTTTTTAAAAGACCCTTCGTTCCAGATGGTTCAGCAACACGTTCGGGTTAACGCTGAGACCGGAGGAGACAATATGTCCTTATCGCTGATGCTTCATGTAAAACGTTCAGAAAGTCTAGTTTCATAAAAGAATTCAATGAAAACAACTCGTGTGAGTTATTGAAGATGCATTGTTTAGCCATGAAAACACACATTTTCATTTTGTCTTTACAAACGGTTGCAGAGGTGTCCCTGTGTTCCACATGAAGAGACTTAACCAAAGGGCTATCGTCACTCGTAGAAACTGGACTCGTGCGAGACTCAGTCACCGGGACAACAGTTGTATTTCACAGTATAATGCATGGGAAACTGAGACAACAAAGAACCTTCACACACACACACACACACATCCAGACATTCAATCACACACTTCTAGACGTGATTAAACTCAGCGGGACTGCCGGCCTCAGCACTCTTCTCCCAACTTACTGACAGCTTTGGAACTATTCCCTCTTATGTGTGTGTTTGTGCGACACAGTGTTGTCCTCCCGCAGACAACCCCCACCACCACCACCACCACCGGCAGACCCCCCAGGCAGGAGCATGTCTTTACATGACACCAGGGCTATCAGTCTCTGTCGACTCTCTGGGTACACAGACAGAGACAGAGAGATGGTGGGGACCTCAACAACACGGAGCCAGAACCAACAACCTGATCACACAGATAAGGAAAGATGATGTTTGGTCAACCGTGTGTTTGTGTGTGTGTGTGTGTGAGTACCTCTCCTCCTCTCACGCTCCTGGAGGAGGCGTAGAGAAGTGAGGAGGTGCAGGCGGTGCAGGTGATTGTGGACTCCCAGCTCCAGCAGGTCATACTCTGAGAGGTGGAGCAGGTCCTGGAAAACATAAACACACACACCTCGTTAATTTGAAGGCTGCCACTTAAAAAAATCTATTTAAATCAACCACTGAGAACGAGGTGAGATCAATACGTATATTTGTACTGAGAGGTTTCACAATTTTTTAAAACCTTACACCACCAAACGTTCCCTTGGTGAAGGTCGTGCACATAAAAGAGAAGCAGCAAAAATGTGAAAAGCTGGAACCTTGTTGCAGATTAATTTTCTTCCCTCAGCTGCAGCTTCACTGAAGTGATCCTGCTGTAGATCAACTGTGACATTCGATATCAACACAAAACCAGTGTAATGTTCACCAGAAGTTTTTTATTGATAATCAAGGCTCGGTGGTGGAGCTCACTGCATCTTCCAGCCACCAACGTGACCCCCAAACATCAAACTGTCTCCAGCTACAAAAGCTGTACATCGTGAAACATGAAGCAAATCTACAACATCAACAAATAGTTTTCAAAGCCAAGAGAAAGTTTTCTGGTTCACGAACAAAACCTGGACTGAGTTGTTTCAGATTTGCACTTTACACGTGATGAGGATGAAGACATCGTGGTCTCATTCTCAAATTTACTGTGGTGTCCACTTGTCGGAAAAATTAAAACCAAAGTCCTGTCAAATTCATTGAAGTCAGAAATGACACAAAGAGATCTGACCCCGTCCCTCAGGCTGCGGCGTGAACTTTGACACGAAACTCATCAGATTCTCAACCCTGACTTTGACCTGCGTCAGATGGTCTCGTTACTCATGTGACACTTTAAGAGCCAACGAGAATATTTCCGGTGTCACTGCTTTGGTCTCAAATTGGGACACAGACAGTCAGTCATAGCTGAGGACGGTCTCTCACATGTCTCCCCTGTCGGGTCCCTTCCCTCCTGGTGGCTCCTTCGTCTCCACCCCTCGTCCTCACGTTTTATGACTTTGCTCGGGCGTCTGCAGGGCTCGACCTTGTGTCCTGGTTTAGAAAAGGGACTGAGCAACCGTCAAATGCTGCTGTGTTTCACTTCCTGTATTTACAGAGCGTCCCCGACGAACAAAGAGAGGGACGAGCTGATTGAAGCGAAGTTGTACGACTGTGTTCCTGATTCAATGATTTATGGCTCGGACAAGAGGCGGGTTTAATTTTTGACAGAACATGTGTTGCTCAGGTGTTTGGACTCAAACTGCGGGGCGTTAAAATACCACCTTGTCAAACACAAACAAAGAGAGGCCGTGGAGTAACCCCCTCCACTAACTCACACACTTCACAGAGGCTGGAGAGGAAAATAACATTTCTCTCTGGGGCCAAAACAAAAAACTAAAGGAACCTCAGTCTTTTGGTCTCAATAAGCATATCAACATCACTAATAGGATTAAATAAGTGTTATATACTTTGTGGTATAGCCGACTACTTTGCATTGTTTAATTTTGGGACATTTATGAAATGATGGAAGAATGAGAAGCATCGGAGGGGCACTGCAATAAGAAAATAAAAATTTTAATTCTTGGAAACTCGGAAAAGAGACGAGCGCGAGTAAAAAAAAAAAAGCTTCTTCCAAATATCGGAAATGCTAGTTTTTAAGTGAGGGAACAGATTTCACAAACTATTGAGGAGATTGAAATAAAGTTTAGACCCTGGTCCCTGGAGTGGAGTAAACGTAGCTGTAGCTACTGTTGTGTTGTCTGGTGGAAGTTAAAGGTAAAACACAATCTGTCTAGACAACGTGGTGGCTCCAGCAGAACAGAAGAAGAAACGCTGAGGCCGCTGGGGCCCGCCTATCTTCCAAAAGTGTGCCGCCTCCTCCCCTCATCCTGCTCCTGTCATTACGGCACTGTCTTAAACACACACACACACACACAAACACACACAAACACACCCTTCCCCACTTCAACCCTCGGTGTGGCATTAACGTAAATGACCCCTGAAATAGAGAAGGAGTCTTTGAACCAGAGCTCAACCTCGTTCAGTAATGGAGCTACACAAAAACGCCGACGCACACGTGTGAGTGACACACACTGTCATCACAGGACACTGCAGCTCAAAGCAAGGCCTTGTTTTGGTTTCTCGACAATACGACCATTCTCCGAGTTCATCACAAACAATGCTCTGTTTGGATAACACACACGTCCATGAATATTAAGACACACACACA